CACAGAGCACTGGGGTTACAGGCAGGCAGCATTGTGCTTTTAGACCAAGGATGAGAATGGCTCCTTATGTTGGTAAGGAGCGCTTTGCTGTCTGCGCTTCATGTCCTGTATGGTGCTCTTTTGTGTTTATGGATTGCTAAATAAGCACGGAGAAGCCTACTCTCCAGGACCAGAACTGCAGTGGTGTCTCTCTGTGCACCCTGTCTCTCTGTGAGCCCCCAGTCCATGCAATCTGCTCCACTGTTTAACCCTCAACACGATTCTGAGTTGCTTGAAAACTTGAATTGCCTGTGTCAGCCGGTAGCCCTTAAATATAGCTCCTCACTGTGTTGTCTGAACAAGGTCCCGCTGGCTTCCCGCTGGTATTCTTCCAATAGTGTCGGGAGGAATGTGGGCTCCCCTACTCTGCACCCCAGCACGGGGCTTGTGACCAGAGGAAGAACGAGTGAAACCAGGATCAGACCCTGCACCAGGTGCAGCCCCTCAGCTCTATTCCAGGATGGAAGCATTTCTTCTGGGTGAAGCCATGAATTTTAAATGTCCTTTGGGGGCAGGAGACTGGAGAGATGGTTTAGTGGCTAAGAATGCTTACTGCTCTTCGTGCTCTTGCTCTTGCAAGGAGCTGGGTTTGGTTTGCAGCACCTACATGGAAGTCCCCCATAACAGGATCAGGTGCAGATCTGCCACCTCCTCTAGCCTCTGCGGGCTCCTGAATGGGCACAGTGCCCATAAACATGCACGCACACACACACACACAATCATCACACAAATCTTGAAAAGATAGATTTGGGGGCCGGCAAGATGATTCAGTGGTTCCAGGCTCCTACACCAAGTCTGCAGACTTGAAGGACTTGACACACACCAATACACATACACACACACACACACACACACACACACCAATACACACATCCCAATACACACACACCAACACACATATACATACACCAGCATGCACATACACATACACACCAGCGTGCCAACACATACCAGTACACACACTTTGAAGAACTTGAAGGACTTGCAGACTCGAGGTCCCAGGACCTACATGGTGGAAAAGAAGCACCTCCCATCGTTGTCCTCTGGGTCTCCACATGCACACGACGGCATGCATGCATTCCTCACCACCCACATTCCATACACACAAAATAAATCAATGCAAATGTCCAAGGGCTTTAGACATGTACTTTATCCAGCGTCTTGAGCATCCCTGAGCTGTGGCTGCCTCTCCAAGCTGGGTGGAGACACGCAGCCATGGCAGCAGGTGGAAAGCTGGAGCAGATGCATTGTAGCTCCTTGTGGCAACCAGTCAACCAGGAAGGGGCAGCATGGAGAAGCATGAGAGCAAGTAATAGGGCCAACCCAGGCTTGTGCCCGCCACAAAGATCCCTCTCATGTGAGGGCTGTTTGCAGCTCACTGGGTCCCCTTTCAACCAAGAATCTCTCTATTCCTGTTAAAACATGAGAACCTTGGGTTAGAGAGCTTTCCATATAAGCATTCGGACCTGAGTTCGAATCCCCAGAACCTACATAAAGCCGGCTATGGCCGCACATTTCTGTAATCCTCATGCACCTACAGTGACATGGAAGGGACAGGAAGGAGAGTCCCTGCGACTCTCAGACCACCGAGCCTGGTGCACACGGCAGGCAGCACACAAGAAAGGGAGTCTATCTGAAGGAAGAGGAAGCTGAGGGCTGACACCTGAGGTTGTCCCCTTCCCTCAACACGTGCTGTGGTACCTGTGCACCTACACACACATATACACACACAGGCACACACACAGATACACACATAGGCACACATACAAATATACACACAGATACACACACACACGGATGCACACACACCAAATTCTTTTACAAGATGGAGACTGAGCGTATGGACATAGCTGCTGACCCTGCTAAAGATGTAGATCCAGCATTGGCCACGTCTGTTCACACGCAGTGTGGGCATGAGCCAGCCATGATCACAGCACAGCAGCCCCTGGCAGGAGAATGAAGCTGCCTTCCCAACAGTGTAAAGGGATGTGGGTCAGGAAGAAAAGCCTAGGCCCTGATAGGTATTAGTGTTCAGTCACCTCCTTTTGTGATCAGTGACAAGTGGGGACAAGTGGGGGGTCATCTCAGCAGGAAGAGAGGGCCCAATGAGACATGAGCCTGATCACCTAATCTTCTCCAGGCCTGCAGACCCCTTCCTTTGGAGGAGAAACTAGACAATATGACTGAAAATGGAGATGGGCACGGGGATTCACACTGTGGGCCCAGAACCCAGGTGGCTGAAGCGAGCCTTCACGATGGGGGGGCACCCTGGACTACCTCCTCCACAGTAAGCGCCACACTGGCCCTGACACAGTCTCAAAGAGAGGGCCAGAAGACTGGACCACACTGACTCATGGGTTCTTGTTTCCTGGCTGCAAAGAAACCGCAGTCCTTGGGTAGAAGGTGATTCAAGTAATCCCATCCATGGCCTATCTTGAGGGAGCAGGCCTGGAGGAGGCTGACACAAGAAGGTAGACAGCTCAGTCTGCTTGATACAGAGCAAGTTCAAGGCCAACCTGGGTAACTCAGTGAGACTGTGGCAAAACAAAATATAAAAAGAGGGGCTGGGGTGTGGCTCAGTGGTAGAGCCCCTGCCTAGAATCCCCCAGTGAGGGGCTGGGGTGTGGCTCAGTGGTAGAGCCCCTGCCTAGAATCCCCCAGTGAGGGGCTGGGGTGTGGCTCAGTGGTAGAGTGCCTGTCTAGCATATTAAGGCCTCTGGGTGCAATCCCCAGCCCCAGGAGCAGAGGAGTGGGGCAGTTGGGAACTATATCCATTACCATCCACATTGGATGCACTCAAAGCTCCTTGCTGGCCCGGCAGGGAGGCTGGTCACCAGCGCCACTGGCTTCCCTCAGTGTTGCCCATGTGCTCTGTACCACAGCGCAGATCCTACGTCCCTACTATAAGAATACAAAAGATAGTTTATTGAATCTGAATTCTCCATTAAAGTCTTTAAACATAAAAGCTCTGTAGGAAATGTCACAACTTAGTGTCATCTGTCATATAAATAAATATACACTAAGATGCACACTATCAACAGGTGTCCTCAACGTGAGGCCACAACATAGGGACACACTCAGTCAACTTTAAAACCCAGGATTGGCTGGACTGGGGTGTGAGGGGCAGGGGCGTGCCATGGGTGGCTGTTGGTGGCACCTGGAGAGGATACAGGAAGCAGGTGGTGGGGACAAGGGTCCTTCGGTCTATTAGGAAGGGGGTTTGCGGAAGCGGATTTTCTTGGCTGTCTCCGTGTCAGACTTGGCAACCAGAAATCGCATCTTCTTGCCTCCGTGTCGGATCAGGTCCACTGCCCTGAGATGAAGGAAAGCAGTGAGGCTGCAGAGGAGGGAGAAGCAGCAGCAGCCCCCACCACTGCCTCTCCCTCCCCAGGATGCAGGGCTGGCCTGCAGGCGCTACCACCTCCCTGGCTAGCCCTGCATCTCAGGCCAGGCGTGGCGCGTACCTCATGTAGCTGACACCTATCAGGCTGCTGCCATTCACCTCCAGGATCTGGTCTCCCAGTGACAGGCGTCCATCAGATGCCGCGGGGCTCCCGGGAAGCAGGGTCTGTATGTAGAGTCCCTGGGCCCCCAGAGGTGTGTGCTGGGAAGAAGCAGGGGCCTCAGGATGCTGCTGGTGCTGACACATGCTCTACCCATTAAAAACCTTGTGCCCCACCCCCAACTCTCCCCGCGCACTTGTGGGACCCATGCCTGGACCTAGTCAGTGTGTCCCACAGGAAAGCACCGAGCTCCACCAGTGCTCCCAAAGGCAGGCCCATGAGACAGTCAGGGCATCGCTCACTGGCTTTGACTATGCTCACACTGTAGATGACGCTGCGTCTGCAAGAACAGGGGGAGAGGGCTGAGGTCCAGGGTCCTCACCATCCCATCAATCAGGCCCATTCCCAGCCCCGAGGGGCCTCGCTCAAGCTCCACCATGAACACGTAGCAGAAGTCCTCCGTGCTGGAGCTGGGGCTGGAGGCCTCAGCAGGAGGGTCAGCCGGAGCCGGAACAGCATCTCCTGGGCAGAGAGGAGGGAAGGATGAGGAACCATTGTGCTTGGAGGGTGGCACTCACCCCAGCGTCAGTACACACACGGGACCTCGGGAAGACACAGAGTGTCTCACAAGACAGGGCGTGACAAGTGCTCCTGGATCCCCAGGAAAAGACCACCTGGACAGAATACAACAGCAAGCCCAGGGGAAGGGACAGGTCCAAACTCAACAACATTAACCCTCTGAGGCCAGAGACCCAATGCATTTGGGGCACCCTAGCCTCCCACCATTTCTTCACTGTCTCCTTCTCTCCCCCCAACCTCCACCACTAGGATGGTATTGTAAGTCCATCCTCCCTGAGCCGCCATTGTGCCCAGACCCTGCCACAGACTCCAGCCTAACAGAGGCCCACCGTGAGGCCCTGTGCCTCCACAACAGAGCCTGTGCCTGAGTGGGGACCTCAGGAGAGAGCCTGATCTAACAGTTCTGCACCTCAAACCCAGAACCTGAGGAAGCTTGCGGCCTTGTCCTGCCCCACAGAGCACCCACAGCCATTCAAACTTGAGGATAATAAAAGATGCAGTGAAGAGTCCTCACAGGACCAGGTGGGCCTCACTGTGCACACACACGCATCTATACGTGCTCGTACAGAAGGACACATATGCACCCACCTACCAGTACTGTCCCTCAACAGGCACTAAAAGGAGCCTGCTCTAGACATAGCTGACAGAGAGGCCCAAGGAGACCTGCTATCAAGAAACAAGGTAGGGTCTGCAACCCAATCATGAGCGGGCCAGGTCTCACCTTCTAGGACTGCACCAGGAAGACCACCTGCTCCGTTCCTCTGCCTGTCAGTGAGTGCTTTTCCACAGAGGCCGCTGGACTCTGGCCAGGCGGGGCCTCCAGGCTCCAGGCCCAGTGGTGTACTGGGAGGAGTGAGCAGGCAGGAGGAGTCAGTGTGCAGAGAGCCAGCCTGGGAGCCCCTGCGGTCCCCTCGGGTAGGCTGTCTTCCAGGGGGAGCCTGTGCCCGAGGAGCTCCAGTGACAGGAAGAGCATGGGCAGGGGCAGTTTCCACAGCTCCTCTGCCTGACTCCCTATTAGCCAGGGGGCAGCCATGGCCTTCCAAATGTCCCTCAGGAATTGTGTGGTACAGGCCCTGGGAAGAGAAGGTGGACAAACGTTGAGGCCCAGAAGTGGAGATAGACCAGGCATCCATGATTGTTTCCTGTGAGGAAGAGAGACAGACAAGCCACCCAGGAGATTATGGGCCCAGCCAGGGCATGTTAGGCACAGAGTGAGTGAATACACTTGCACGCCTGCACCACATCAAGTGGAGACCTGAGTCCTCTGTCTCAGGATACCTGCTGCATCCCCAAGCCCACTCTAGACAACCAGTGCCTGCTGCTGGCGACAGGCCATGAGAGGTTGTCTCGGTTCAGCTCATGGTTACAAGCCACAGGCTTCTCTGCGTGACTCAGCCCCTCCCCACAATATCCCTGCCCCACGCTACCTCTACCTCGATACTCGCAGGCTGGGAAGGCCCGCTGTCAGAGCGAGCTTGGCCCCGCAGCCCCCACAGGAAGTGGCGGACGTAGAGCAGGTGCTGGTAGACGCTGTCCTCCACAGAGTCAGCCTCCAGGTCCACCTGGAAGCCCTGGCTCGGCAGAACGATGGGCGGTGGGTTCTCGTAGGACTCCAGGATGTCCTCTGCAGTGGAGTGAGGGGGCGCTGGGACCTGGCCTCTCCTCCCTCCACCTTAGGTCCTCACCCACCCATGGAGGACCTCGGGCAGGCTGAGTCCCAGCCTAGTCTCTTTTCTTAATCCCTACTAGGCTGTCTAGATTGGAAGACACCGCCCCTCCACATACCAGCGTGTCACTGGGACACACACGTGTGTACCCTGGGATGTTGATATGTGCAGGTCCTGGATGGGGATGGAGACAGGAGCCTTTCTGTGATGCCAGCTCTGAGCTCCCAGCACAGAGCTTCAACACAGGGAGGGAGTGTTCTGACACAAATCTGTAAACTAGGAGGGACCCATGGGCCCAGGGCCCAGGAGTACTATTTAGAGGCATCCTGTGTTCAGCCCAGCCAGGGAACAAGGAGTCAGTGGGAAGCCTTATGCTCACCCACAGCCTACTGTCTGTCTACCAGTCTGCACTTTCTGTTGACACACTGTGGATGTATGTTTATGAAGGAATATATGTATAACTTACAAATTGAAATGTACACGTATGTATGTATGTATGTATGTATGTATGTATGTATGTATGTATGTATATATGTGTGTATGTATGTGTTTATGTGTGTGTATGTATGTATGTATGTATGTGTGTATGTATGTACATGTGTATGTATGTAGTATGTATATATGTATATGTGTGTACATATGTGTGTATGTGTGTACATATGTGTGTACGTACATATGAATGCATGTGCATATGTGTATGTATGCATGTACACACGTATGTTATGTACATGTGTATGTATGCACACATGTATGTATGTATATGCATATGTATGTGTGTATGCATGCATGTACATATGTATATTATGTATGTATGTGTTTATGTAGGTATGTATGTGTATGTATATGTATGTATGTATGTATGTACATATGTGTATGTATGTATGTATGTATGTATGTACCTCTGCTGCTCCACCAGGGCATGTGCATGTGTGTAAACAGGATAAATGTGTGCTCAGAGCTGAAAAATGTCTCCAGAGGCTTGTTCACCCTGCTGTTCACTTCCTGACCAGCTGGGTGCCAGTTGAGACCCAGTCTGAAGCCCTAGGAGCAGAAGGGACATTGACTCTGAGACTGGGGGCCAACACAGTAGGATCCTGGGTGGAAGTACTGGGTGGCAGGGGGCTCCTGTGTTCCCACCTCAGGGGGCTGCTCTGGTGCTTTTCTGAGCTGGAGCTTGGGAGTCTCCACCCTCAACCCCCCATTCCCATTTACCCCATCGGCTTGCCCGCTGGGAAGGCTCACCTGACTGGAAGGCCTCAGGACTGTCTTGGGCTCCTGGCTCCCAAGCACTCACAGGGCCCATGCCAGAGGCCAGCTGGTACTGAGTCAGCAGCCGGTGCAGCTGAGCAGGGTTCAGGGCAGGGAATGTGACCCGCAGGGTGGCCCAGCTCATCTGTGGACAAGGACCTCAAGTCAAAGCCTGCAGGTGCATGAGGCAGTCCCCTGCCCACAGACCTAGGGAGAGCCCTCCTCAGGCAGGGTTCTAGCCCCAAACCCATCTTTCCACTCCCAGGGAGGGCAGGTGGGGACAGTGCAGATAGCAGGTCAGGGAAGGGACGGGCAGAAGACACTGCACTGGATACCTATCCACACTGATGAGGTTGCCCTAGGCTACAAACTAAGACCCTGACTCAGGAAGCCCAGGAAGAATGGAAAGAAGGGAGCAAAGGAGGGATGGAGGAGAGCGTGTAAGCACGTGTGCCCTTTAGAAGGCAGAAACAGGTCACCTAGGTGCTGTGAGTGACTGGGCTCAAGGTAGGGAAGGTTCTCTGAAGACAAAGCAAGGGGACAAAGGTGGTGCCCACTTGTAAGCCTGGCACTCTCGGGAGGTGAGGGCAGGAGCATCAGAGGTTGTAACCCAGCCTGGGCACATAACAAGTTGGAAGCCAGTCTAGGCTAACAATGAACTAAACAAAACCAGAAATGTCATCCGGCTCCCCTCCTTTCTCCTCCAGCTTGTTGCCTCTTTTCCTGGCTCCCTGCCATCCTTCTGTGGCCTCGTGACAAAGGCCCAGGAGATCACAGTTTTGCTCTGAAAGCTCCTTCTCTCATGCAGACAGCTCAGCGAGCCCAGGGCCTGGAGACGCACACTTGTGGCTCGTAAGAAGTCTCCCTTCTCCGAGTTGTATCTGCTTCTATTCTACTCCGGAAGCTCTCGGTTGTCCCTGTCTAGAGCACCAAGGTTCTTGGTAATGTCCTTTAGGGTGAAGGAAGGGACAGCCTGTGGCCTCCACTGCCAGCTTCTCTGCCTTTAGCTTTGCCGCTTTTTCTTCCTCTCCCTGTCTTGATTTCCCTGCCAACAGCCATGGCCTGGGCTGCAGCCATCCAGAGTCTATGCCCCAGGGACAGCTAGCGCCTCAGAGCTATTGGGGGAGGGACAGGAACAGACGCTGGGGCCACACTCTTCCTAGCAATCCCTCCACACACCCCTCAAGTCCAAGGTGCATGGGGTGGGGGTGGTCTGTTTCCTTTTGAGGTCTCCCACCTGTTTCTGAGGTATGTCCAGGTTGTCAGGGAGAGAACAGGAACTAGCCATGATCACATCCCCCCCCCACCCCTCCTCTGTCTGTGTTCTCCTCTCTGGTGTTTGGGGGGCACTCAGGGGAAATTTTCCTTCACTCTGAACTTTTCGCCCTGTCCTTTTCACTTCTGCTCCTGTGGTTGGTTTTAGTTTTCAAAAATTCCTGCCTGATTTTGTTTATTCGGAGGGTCCTGAACCCTTAGATGGCTCAGCGGGTAAAGGCGCCTGCCACCTGGTGACACAACTTGAAGCTCTAAGACCCACATGGTGAGAGAGAAGGCTCCTGCAAGTTGTCCTCTGACCTACACACACACACACACACACACACACACACACGCCTGCACACATACCCACACATAATAAATAAATGTGATTTATGAACGGGGCTGAAGAGGTGCCTGAGCAGTTAAATGTGTTTGCTGCTCTTCGGCCACAGGCGGCTCACAGCCAGCAGTGACTGTAGTCCGGGGACCCGCACCCACTTCTGAGGACACCCACACACACAGCACTCATCCACCTACAGAGACATACAGTAAATGCAAATGAATCTTTACAAATCTGTTTTAAAAGGACAGGGTCCCCTCATGAAGCTCAGGCTGACCTTGAGTTCATGACTGTCCTGCCTCAGCCTCCAGAGTATGGGAGTGACATAGTGCACGTCGCCATGCCAGGCCCCAGAAACCTTGCCATCTTATTTACAGACACATTATTATTCATGAATACTATTGTTTCTCTTACTTTTACGAGGACAAAAATAATCTTTTTTCCTTTGCAGTTACTTTTTGCTGGCTAGTCTCAGGGTTATTTGAAGCATATTTTTTTAAAGATTTATTTATTGTATATATGAGTACACTGTAGCTGTCCTCAGACACACCAGAGGAGGCATCGGATTCCATTACAGATGGTTGTGAGCCACCATGTGGTTGCTGGGAATTGAACTCAGGACCTCTGGAAGAGCAGCCAGTGCTTTTAGCTGCTGAGCCATCTCTCCAGCCCCTGAGGGATATGTGAATAATCAGACCCTCAGGCTAAGGATATTTTCTTTTTAGAGGGTTTAGAACCGATGACCATAAAGAATACGGACGGACTCTGTGTGACAGCAAGACCAAAACACCTGCTCCCAGCTCTTGGCACAACAAGCTTGTCCTTGTCACATCGCACAGAGGTCCCACCAGGCACCTGGGCCAGCTGTCTTCACAGTAGGTCCCCTGGTCTCGTTGGGCTCCAGGACTCAATGTGGAAGGGCCAACATGGAGCTGAGCAGACGGCAGCATCCGAGCCGAGGAGTCGCAGCTGCCCCTCCCTGCGTGTCCCCCACTCAGAGACCACACAGGCCTTGGACTGGGGAGACAGCCCAGTACCAGAACCCATGGAAAAAGCCAAGTGCGGGGCCTGGAATTGTAGCTTTGGGAAAGCCAGACAGATCACTGGAGCTCACTGGCCAGCTCGCTTAGCCTAGCTGGCAAAGGGCCAGGCCAAAGAGCCACACTGTCTCAAACAAAAGGTGAAAGATGCCTGAGAAATGGCATTCAAGGTTGTTTGTCCTCTGACACACACACACACACGCACACGCACACATGCACACGCACAGGCACACACACACACAGAGAGAGAGAGAGACAGAGAGAGAGAGAGAGAGAGAGAGAGAGAGAGAGAGAGAGAGAGAACACACAAATCTGAAATGCACAACTTGCAGAGGTCTCTCTAGGCACCACTGAGGGTTTCCATGTGAGCGCTCGAGCCCACAGCACGAGCTCTGCTTCACAGACTCCAGCTCAGCTCAGGCAGGGTCAGCTGTGCCTCTGCTTCTCGAGACTCACTCGCAGCTCTGCAGCCTCACATGCAGAATGACCAGGACAGACTTTCAGACTTTATCCACCAAAGCAACTCCTGACTGAGGACCGTGAATGGAACGGATCTTGCATGAGCTAAACAAGCACTTTACCACAGAGCTACATACCTAGTCACCATTTCCCCCTTTTAATATTATCTTTTTTAGTTGCGCCGGCGCGCCCGCACCTATGTATATATGTGTGTGTGTGTGTGTGTGTGTGTTTCCACGTATGTGGGTGCAGCAGGCAGATCTTCCATTCAGCTCTTTGTGGTTGCCTACTGCTGATGCATGCCTCTGTTCCTTCAGTGGTTTTCTAGCCCTTCAACCAGAAGACTTTACATTTCATCTGGCTATGCAAGTTGTTCTCTGAAAAAGGGTGGGTTCCCCTAGCCCACTCCATCTAAGACAGTACTTACTAATCTCTTGAGGGCTGGGGCGTGGCTCAGTGGTAGAGCCCCTGCCTAGAATCCCCCAGGGAGGGGGCTC